TCTTTATTTTCGGGCCTCCCTCAGCGTTAGGCCCCTCAGCCGCCCATCCTGGTGAGAACATATTTACTAAACGTAAAGGTTATACCCCAACACAAGATATAAATGAGATAAATTAAGACAAAATGACTGTAGGGATCCCATAAGTAGCACTGCCTACAGTGGGTTCCCTAGTCTAAAGCTTTCATGATATTAGCTCTGTACCTCTGTACAGAGCCCCTCCAGCACTGAAGTGTAGAAGTGAAGGCATTCTGTGAGAGTAGTGAAGTGAAGACATCCTAGAGGGAGGTGACAGAGGAAGAGGAGAGAATACAGGAGAATCAGAAACTGGCAGTCGCATTTGCAGGTGGAAAAAAGAAGCATCAGCAAGTGTGATCAAAAAGAAGCATAATGATATTTCTGGAATACTGTATATTGTATAGTTTGTATTCTCATGGCAGTTTCTCATCATCTAAGGCCATTAAAGATGCATTTTCAGTTATGAAGCATACCAAACATTTTGCATATCCAGAGAGTGTGGTTGCTTAACAAAGATTGTTTAAACCTTTTAAAACCCACAATGACTAGAGGGTATGGTGGCTTTGTGCATACTGCTAGGACTGTAAATGCACGCCTTTCCAGAAGATGATACAGAGGCTGTAATAGACAAGTTGACAACATTTTTCAAAGTCTAGAAGTATGAGAAGCTTCTAAGATTCAAGGCTGCTGTAAAAAGAGACAGGAAGTGGTATGAGGGATATTTTAATTACGTATCTTGTAAAAATCAGAATGATGTCAGTAACTTCAGCTTTCTGAAGGTAGAAATGATGGGAGTGGTAAAGACAAATTGAGTTGTTTTAAAAATCAGCTCAGCTGGCTGGATAGCTTAGTGAGATGGAACACCTTGCTGTGTACCCAGATTCTCATTGTGCCTCCTAGTAGAAAAGGGAACCAGTGTGGTCTCAGGTTGGATCTCATCTGTGCCCAGTTCTGCCTGGATACTATGAAATGTGTCTCAAGAAAGGCAGCTAAGATGGTGAAGAGGGTATACACTAAGCCATATGAGGAATGGTTGAAACAGTTGAGATCTTTAGCCTGGAAAAGGGAAGACTGAGAAGTGATATGCTAGCCATCTTCTAATGGCTGGTGGGTTGTCATATGGAAGATGGAACAAGTGTGTTTTCAGCAGTGGCAAAGGGTGGGACCTTAACAGATTGATTCAAATTAGAAGAAAGGAGATTTCAACTAAACTTTAGGAAGAATGTTCTGGCAGTAGCTTCCTGTTCAGCAGTGGAATGGATTACCTCAAATGGTGATAGACAGAGATTGGTACTGCTTCTGAGTGGGTGCCTGTTGGAGTGGGTGTGGTGCCAAACCATGGATCAGCTGTTCAGCCAGGAAACAAACCACGCTGAACCAGCACTTCATGCCCATCTCTAGTGATAGACTCTCCTTCATTGGAAGTTTTTTAAACAAAGGTTGGATTATCACCTGCCTGGGGTGGTTTAGCTGCGTATTTGGATTTGGACTGGAGGACCTTTGGATTCAATCCAGTATACACGCTTGTGATTCTATGGGATGAAGTCCCCCCAAAATGCGTTGAGGCAAGCATTCATATAATAGAAAGAAGGATAATGTATTTCAGGCTTGTGTGAACATCTTTTGCCAATTTGCAGCCATAGAAATACAGTTTTCAGTGCCTCCTGTACAGTGAATTGAACCAGAAGACATTGGGAATAGTACTCTATCTCCAATAGATGTAACATGTGCAGATCTGCGGCTGAAGAACACTAGCATAAAGTTTTTCCAAACACACCAACATTACAAACTTCCAGTAAAATACATGGCTGCTTCTGAGAGTTTTCGGAAGGAGCTCAGAAAAACCAAGATGATTTCACAAAAAGCTGTGGAAAGCCCATCATTGGAAATAACAATTCAAATATCTGTGCAGCAGTTTATCAGAGATTCAGTTGGCTTTGATATCCAGCCACAGTTAAGATCCCAAAGGCAAGATCTTTTTCTGACATCATACTGACCATCAGAAGGTCCATACAGTATAAGTGCAGGAGCTTGTCTCTCTCCTCCTGTGTTAATACTGGACAGAGAATAGAGGTTTGAAGCTATAAGCACTGGTCCATAGAGAAGCTTTCACAGCTGTCAGACATCTTGGTGCTTTCCAAGGTTCTATGTGCTTCAGTGCAAGGTAAAATATTTCCTTCATGTCCCTGGCTTGAGACAAAAGGAAGGGAATTTTTAGAAACCTCAGACTGGCTGGACAGCTCTGTGGTTTAGGTATCTGGCTGCTGATCGAGAGGTTGGGAATTTGATTCCCCCCTGTGCCTCCTGCGAGTAGAGCGAACCTGTGTAGCCTTGAGCAAGCTGCACAGTCCCAGGGCCCCCCAGAAGATGGGAATGGTAAACAACTTCTGTGTATTCAGTAATGGGAAAACCCTGAAAAGGGTCATCATAAGTCAGAATTGACTTGGCAGCACATGATTATTTTTATGCTGAACTGCAAAGAAAATGAAATGGAAACAACTCTCTATGCAGCTCTCTCTTACTCAGATTTCCACTGTTCTTTTCCAAAGCAATGTCTGAGAAATCTCATGGGGGCTTGCTAAGATAAAAACTTGTTTTCCGCAACGACATAAACATATCAGTAGATCTGTGCTTTTAATTTCTTATTTATAGCACTTCTAGATTGTCCAATAACTTGAATCCTCAGGGTAGCATAAAGTAAATTAAAAACATAAAATATGAACAATAAACACCAACTAAGAATTTTTTAAAGTGCTAAACCCTCCATGGAACAGCATGAAGCAGTTGATCCCTTCTAGCAACTGATTTCAAAGAGGTATCATTCTTTAAAAGTTCTGATCCAGATGATACCTTCTTAGGTGTTTGGACTTAGGTGTGAAAATGTCTCAGACCGGGACTTCCAAAATTATTTTTGCCCAAAGGGGTTTTCAACATACTCTCAAAATGTTCTCTTGCCTATATGTCCTCCAGCAATTTTTATCATTTGGTAATTTCATTGACTGAACTTGGACTGGTGTGTGATGAAATTCTATACAGAATTTATAGACATTATTATTTATTTATATACAGAATTGTTCTATAAAGAAATGTAAAATATATCGTACCTAAGTCATAGGCTATATGGCAACTTTGCCTAAGTGTGCATAATTTCCTTCCTGTTCTGAATAATTAATGTGAAATATGTGTTCTCAACTTCCAGCCTTTTTAAAGTTTACCGTTCTAAAAGTGTTTCAGAACTTTCCAGTCAAGTACTTTGTAGTTGGAATCAGTTCACTGGGTGAAAAGATAACTTTAAACTGCATTTCTGTTTTCTCTCAGGTGAATGTTTTTACATTGTCTCTATGCAGTTTTAAATTCTTCAGTTGAAGGGATGAGTAGAATGCAAGCTACTTCTGGATACTTCCTGATTTCCTCTGGAACTTGAGCAGCATTTGACCCACCATGCTGCTGACAGTAGCTCACCCTCATAAATTATGGCCTGCCAGGCGTTTAACAACTATCCTGTTTTTTCACTCTAAGGCAATAAAATACTTGATAATTATTGACTGCTTGTGGTTTGAGTTTCATCTTGGTGGTCACAAATCATGTAACTACAAGATTTGTATAATATGCTTGATAGGTTATTTAATATGCTTGATAGGTTACTTCACATATTTTTGATAAAGTCTGGAGGTCTGAATCTGTTGAAGGTAGGCTCTTGTGAATAGAATAAAGATGAAAGCTCAATAAAACACTCTCAGTCAGGGTCAGAGCATAGAAGTGGTAAGTTATAAGTAATGTAATTACCTATAAGGAGTTACTTTTGGCTTATTTTTTTGTCGAGGGCGTAACAAGGTCCTGCTTGAAAAAGATGGAAAAAAAATGGGAACTGTCTCTTCCACCACCACCACCCCAAAAAGTAATGCATAATGCAGTAATTGGGATTATTCTTCAAATGAATATGGAGAATAGCAGTTTGGCATTATTCTCTAGTAATATTGGTGGGAATAATACTTGTGAATTTTACATTGCTCAGGTGATGAAATGAGACAAACGAGATGAAGTAATTAAATACCCTTCCCTTCAGTGTAGAGGGTTTAGTTATTGTTATTTGCCTGTTAAAATCACATTTGTGCTTGATTTCTATCAACTAACCTATTTGTTTTTCCTCAGGGTGATATTTTGGAATGATATAATGGACAAAATCCTATCATGTAAACTTAAGCCAGCAGAAGCTAGTGATGTAATCAGCTGGTGCCAATAAAATTTAATTAAAATTTACTGAGAGCTTCCTATTTCTCTGTTTCAGGTTCCAACACTCCATAGGGCTCTCTTTTGCCCTGAGGAAGCCTTCGAGAACCTTTGACAGGGCGGTGGGAGCCTTTAATAGTCAAAAATTGCCACCAGATCATTGCCACCTGGATGAGGACTGTTGTCAATCTGGCAGTGATTTTTTACTGTAAAAGCTTCCCCTTGCCCCATCACAGGGCTCCCAAAGGCTTCCCCAAAGAGAAAGGGAAACCCTAGGGAGTCTTGAAACTTGGAACAGGAAGATAGGAAGCTTTAAATTAGTTTTAGAAAAAGTAGTCATGTTATCTGTGCAAAAACAAAAGAAAAATGATTTTAAAAAACGTTATGGCACCTTAAAGACTAACTGCAATATTTTGTAGACAGGTCCACTTCCTCAGACATAAGAGGACGTCTGAGTAGAGCTTCAGTAGACCACCTTAAGGACAAAGCAAAGTCTCTGGATAGAAAGCATTCTTAGGATATTTCAGTTCTCTCTCATTTTGAAGTTTGCATACAGAGCCTGAAAACCGAACAGTGAACAGTGTTGATTGCATGAAATGGTGTGTTCCAGATTCCGCTGGACTTGCTCCCAGAAGGGTGTGCACAAGGGTTACAGCCTCACAGAAACTCCACTACTATGGTCTATGCAAACATTCATTTATTCTGACTACACTTGTGCTCCCATTTTATTGCCATATATCCTTTTGTTTTTACAGGTGTTCCACTGTGTGCATTTTGAATGTCCAGCTCAAACCACTACCCATAAAGAGGAGACTGGTGAGGATGATGTGGGCACAGGTGGACAGCAGCTGGCATCTCGCCCTCTTCGCTCTTCAAGCACCAGCTCTGTGCAGTCCCTCCCAGGATGTACTTCACATTCATAAGCTCTCCAATCATAGATTGAAGAAGAACATTTGGAGCCCCAGTGCTTTGATAAAATTGTTCATCGTTTTCTTACGTAGGCCACTCTTCATTCTTGGAATAGATATCGGGGGCTGTGCCTGGCAGCTAGAGAAGTCTAGATGGAAAAGGCTGCCCAAAGACACATTGGGGACCCTGCACACTATCCATTTTGTTAAAATCAGGATGTTCAGCTAGGAAAGAAAATAGATTTTCAGTTTCCATCAAGTCTGTTATTTATTCCCTGCTTCTTTAACCAAACCAATTTTGATAGAGAAATGGGTATTTCCTGAGAAAGTTTATGGAAAATAAGTATATGGAAACCATATGTTTATTTAATTTATTCTTGAGCCCTATTTCTTTGTAAGTTGTGAGCCATTTCAAACTTTCTGTGTATATATTTATATATCTATATTTCTTTGCTTGTCTGTTCCCTTCATTTTTGCTGAAATGTTTCCTTGTTTATTGTGCTGTATCAGGTAGATCCACATGATAGATCTATTCAGTAGAGGCAGATGTGTAATAATCTCTTTGCATTACTCCATTTAACTAGGAAAATCCATTATGGAGGTCATGCATAAAACAATTCAGTTTAGGAATGCTGTGTCAGAATTTTAATTTCCTAATATGAATGACAAAATTGTCCCCTTTCACCCTCGTGTCAAGCTGATTGTTAGGACCCATTTTGGAGAAACAAATACTGACCTTGCTAGAAATCATTAAACTGTGTTTTGACTTTTGCCAGAACTATCATTATAGATACTTAAGTCTCTTTTTATATTGGAAAACAGGTCTAAATGACCAATAGTTCAGGTAGATTTGGTATAAATCAGATGGGATTAGAATGCAGGCAATTTATTCAAGTACTTGCTTTTAAAAAAATAGATAGTATTCCTTTAGGGATTTAATGAAAACACTTCTAAGAAGCTTTTCACATAGTCTCCATAAATACAAATATGAGTTCTGTAGGTAAGTTTGCTTTGTGTTCTAAAGAATTTCTATCTTAGTTGTAGCTGTCCTTTGTAACATAATCAGATTGTTGTTTCTACTCTTCTCAATGCACCCGCATGCAGCATTCCTATGCGCTGACTTTGCATCCTCCCTAGAATAAAACAAGGTTGTGCATTTACCCATGCCAATCACCCATTAATTGCATTCATCATGAAATATGTAATTTTAAAAAATACCATTGCCAACTTGTGATTGTTGTGTGTTTTTTAAAATTGTGTAAAACAGTATGGTGCAAATTGTATGGTGTCCTGTAAATAATTGGTTAAATTGTTGCACTAATTAAACTTAATTGGTTGCATTCTAGTGAATGCTGTTTATAATAAACAGTGGGACGAAATAAGACTGTGTTAAGGATATAAAGCAGGAAATGAGACACACACGTGTGTTTGGTTTTCTGTTATTTGTTTTTTAACGTGTTTGTTGAACAGTGCAGGTAGACATAACTCAGCCTTTTGAGGAAATCGAGTGACTGACCAATAGGGAAACATGTGGTTCAGATACCAAGTACAAAAATTTTAGACTGAAATTCATCTTACAGGCATTCTGCAAAATGTTTTGTGCGTTTGTTCTGCCTAGAAGGACTGATAGTGCTCAGAATCAATGACAATACACTGTATGCTCTTTACTCCTGCCACACAGGATTTCAAAATTCCTTTTCTGCTCCTACCATTAAGAGTTTTATTGGGTAGGATAAGTGACTAGATCCCCCATCCCCCAGCTTACAGCAGTAACACTTTAGATTATGAGTCAAGGAGGTATCAGCTACTACTATTTAGTTCTTTGGTTCCAGATCATTAAAAAGGAAGCAACAAGATCTGAGAGAAATTATGAAAGGAAATCCTACCTCTCCTTTTGTTTTGATAATTGTAGGTGCAGTATACTGAAGCATAGCCTCCCTCCTTTTTCCATGTCTACCTTTTTCCATTGGAAATCTCAGTTTTGAGAGCATTTTTCTTAATCTTTGCAAGCTGAGACAGGCTTGTGATAGGGCCATGCATGAGTATGTGAGGAAAACAGTGTATTTTCTGAGATAACGGACTCGTATTAGGATCATGTGACTTTTGAATGACAAACTGTTTTGAATGCTGCTGTGAATAGAAAGTCACAAGATCAGCCTTTTTTGGTAAAAAATAAAAAAACCCACACACAACATGTTCTGACATTATTAGTTCCAGTGTTGCGTTGGTGAACTTAATTAAATAGGAAGCTCCAGTGAATTCTTTTCAAGTATTACTAGCTCTTAAAAGACAAAACTAGAATTCTTATTAATCATAATTAATAAAATTATAGTTTCCAGAAAGTGAAGCGGATCCAGAATCTGCTTCCATGGGCAGAAGAACTCTACTTACAACAGTCACCAGTTTAGGGGATTCCCTTTCTTCCATTCTTGACCACAATCTAATCCTTGGTGCAGCATTTTCTAGCTACTGGTGGAGTCAAGGGACGGTAAAGTACATTCAACTAGTTCCTAACTGTGTGTACCTAAATCTGCATTTGTAACGGTAATGCAACTCCTTGAATTCTCTTTCTCAACATTGTATTTTAACACACTCTTTGAAACAATGTACTTCATGAAATGTCCAGTGAAACGTGTTAGTGGGATGACATGTGTAGATGATAGACATTTATAGTGACTAACTTGACCATTGCAGGCACTTCTAGATATCTACAAAATCCATTAATTGTCTTCTGTAGTCCCATGGCATGTGTATTACCTTCTTGTATGGTGTGGGAAGGAATATAGAATATGAGCAGTAAACATTATAGGGACACCAACATGAATGAAGATTGCACATCATCCTGGGTTTTTAACAAAACATGTAATTCTTTTATTATATAGATCTACAAACCATACTGTGTTTTCAGTTTTTAATTTCATTGATGTAAATTTTGTCCTTTACTATGATCCTTCCCCCCGCAACCATCAGGGTGAAGGGGGCAAAGGCACTAAGTTATGCTTGTAAGGCTTTTTTCACTTCCATCACAACGGGAGCCTGTGCATCCACTTTTTAGCAACTTACCTTCTTTAAAAGCATTCTTTAAAATGCTTTTTAAAATACATTTGAGACTGAAAAGGCATTTTGGTGATCAGATGTGTGAATTTTTCGTTGAAGGAAGCCCCTGGTATATTCATAATCTCCTACACAGAAAGGGCAAATCTATTAAACTGGGTAGGAAAATTTAATGAGGAATGCAGGGAGAGACATGCTCCTTTTTTGTGACTGCCACAATGAATAGTTTAAACTTCAACTCCATATATTGCTAACTTCCTTTGCCTTGACCCCTATTTTATTTCACTGATCAGTTGCCAACATCAACATCAAGCAGAAAATCCCCACCAACCCTTCTGGAAAAAAGCAGTGCAATATAAGTAGAAGCACCACAAAACAGTCAGGTCAGATAAGTTCTCAAGAAGGATTATCACAGTCACAGGGATTTAAAGCCACCTGAGAGATGAAGGCTAATCAACAGAGTTGTATTCCTTGTGTCTATCTTCTGCCAAAAGTAATACAAGAACATAACAAAGGGGAAGTGCCTTCAAAGTAGCTTGGTCCATGCGTCTCCCCTGCCCTTGTCCAGGTCAGTTTCTGTACTAAATCTAATTCTTTGTCCAGCAAGAGGCTGGCCCTTATTGAGTTCAAAAATGTGAAATAGCAATAAAATTATTTTCTCCTTTGCTTAAATAAATGTCTTCATAAAATGCCCAGGTGGCACTGAAAATTCTCAAACTAATACTTCAAAAATAAATCTATCCCCAATTCCTTCTAATGTGAATATTTTAGAGATTAGAAGGCAGAAGCAGAGTTGGTGACTAATTCTGTTTAGGTTGAATATGTATCTATAGTCTCCTTGGGTTCCTCATGCAGGGTTTTAGTAAAAACGTAGGACGTACAAGAAACAATGTATGATTGATCTCAGGCAGAACAATTTTGGAGTGTTGCATGCCAAAAAGGGGCTGCCCCTACAGGGACTCTATGCTGTGTATGCTCAGCCTACAACCCTCTGTATCTCATATGCAAACAAATAGATTTGTGGGTATCTGAGAGCAAGCATGTTGATTGGAACCCGCCCCTTCCTCCTCCAGAACATACAGATGTGTATCACCTATACATGTGTAATCTAAGGTTAGCCTTTCTGTTAAGTAGGCTGAGTGCTTCCTCAAATGGGCAATAGATTGTTAGTTGTTTTGTTTGTTGTTGTTGTGTTACTGTCAGGGATGGGAAAGATGTTTGTACGATAATCTTGAGTTCTGTGCCAAAATGTCTGAGCTACCTTGGAGAGCTCTGCACCTTGCTGAGCAAAGGGAAGTATCTTTTTTTGTCTCAGTAGAAAGATACTTGGCCAGCCCTAATCTGTTAACCTGAATTAATTTGCTTTTCTATTTAATAAATATCATTTTGTCTACAGACAGTTTAGTACATTATTTGTCATATAGAACATATTTAGATATTGTCAGATTTTGCAAGGTGCTCAATTGCCATTTGAATAGTTGCGAAATTTTGAGTATGTTGGTGTGAGCCCTGCTGGAGCCCTGGGAGAAGTCATCCAGCAAAAATTCCATGCGTTCCAGCCTGGTTTGGTCACTCATGGCAGCTTTTATTAAAGGCATAGAGTCAACATCTCCTTTCCCTGTTTTCTCAGGGGTTTAAGTTTTCAGCACTCACCTCCTAGGCACAGTTGACTTTACTGGGGTCCCCGAAAGTCCAGGTCTGAAGAAGTGGGCAGGATGTATCAATCCCAATTAAGGATGCAGTGCTTTTGGGAGGCCTGATAAAGGCAGGTAATGGGAACGGTTCCACAATGCTGTTGCTCTTGAAGTCCCCTTTTCCGTGCCTGTTGCCTCTTACATCTCCATCGGCTGTGTGACTCCATGGGGTGGCAAGGATGCCAAGGCTGGGTGATGCTCGGTCAGCTGAGGGTTGTGTTGCCAAAGCCTTGGGCCCCCATCACCTTCGACAGGCTGGGCAGCAGGAGATGGGTCCTCTTGTCCTCTATTCCTTTTTTGCACCTTTGTGGAGGCACAGAAGATGGAGTCCCAGTGCTCATCTGCTTCCCCCCCATCTCCCCTTCATCAGAAATGATTGACAACAATGCTGAGTCCTGCACTCCTTCCCTCTTATTTCTGCCATCACACAGTCCTCCAGCAGTCCCACACCAAGTGATGGTCCTTCCTCTGCTTGAGGCAGCACAACCCTGCTGGCTAGGGGCCTGGAAGACTCACTGTCTCTTGGACTCCTCTGGTCCAGATGGCCTGCTGGGGCATCTTCAAGTGATTCCAAACAGGCCATCAAGCCCTCCTCCTCTTTGGTTACTCAGGATCCCTGTCAAGAGAAACAACCCACATTAACACGAGCCTTCCTTTTCAGCACTGTGCCTGAAATTTATGTCTTTAAGGCTAAATGCCATCAGGTTAAGCAAGGGTTGGTGTCCTTCATTTGGGCCAGCCATTGGAGAGGGGCATGGTCCCTCACCAAGGTGAAAGGAATACATTGAAGGTAAAACAAGATGTGCATCATCCAGTGGATGACCAAGGCTTCCTTTCAAGAGCATCCTGTCCTGTACTTTTGCTCCTGGGTTGCCAGCTTTTAGCTCAAGTACAGTACAGGATGCTCTTTCCCACCCCACTGTTGACTAAGACCACCCCTAGGCCCTCGGAACTACCAGTCTCTAGTATTAGAGGCCAGGAAAAGTCAGGAACCAGGCCCTGACAGGACATCCTTCAGTGTGAAGAAAACTTGCTCCTCCTTGGGGCCACAGTATCTTCAAGCCCTTTTCTGTGGGAGATCTCGTGTTATGACTGCAATGGTCACAAAGTGGAATATGCACTGCCAGTAGTATCCAGTCAATCTCAGGAAGTGCTGGACCTGTTTTTTATCCTGGGGTTGGGGTCAGGTGGACAACTTATCAACCTTATCCACTACAGGCTGTACCTCCCACTCCCAACAATAAAACCCATGTACTGTACTTTCCCCTGTGCCACCTTGCACTTGACCAGGTTGACTGTCAGCCCTGCCCAGCAAAGTTCACTGAGTGCTGGGGATGAGCCTCTTTGGTAAGACTAACAAAAATTGCCACCAATGTACACTGAGGCAAGTTCTTTTACTGGTTCTAAGACCCAATCTGTCAGCCTGTGGAATGTCATACTTGCCCTATGCAAGCCAAAGGGCATATGGGTAAAGTGGAAGTGAAGATGTTGATCTTCTTGTCCTCCTCCCATAGTAGAATCTGTCAATAACCTTTTAGTGAAGTCAAGGGCAAGAACCATGTCTCCCCCAGCGTCTCTAATAATCTTATTGGATAAGTGTCAAGTACCTTGTAAAAGTAACAGAAGTCAATGTAGAACTGAATGCTGTCATCTGGTTTTGGGACAAGGACCAGCTGGCTTCTCCAAGGGCTATGGGGTGGCTGTATGACCTCCAGGTGGACCATACTGCTCACTTCCTCATCTGTGAGCAGGCATAATTGTCTAGGCCACATCCATTCTGGGATCCTTATTACAATCCCTGGGTCACTGATACTGGTATACTTTGCCAGCCAAGTCCTCCCTGGGGTGGGTGCAAAAGGTCCTGAAACTCTGCTTCCGCTTATTGAACTTGGGATATTTGGCCAAAGGACAAATGCATCTGCAAGTCCAGGCTGTTCCAGGGCTTTCATCTGAATAAGACAAGCTCAGAGCCCAGGGCTACATTCTCCACATCCCCAAAGAGACCTTCGTTATCCTTACATTCATTTCATAAATTCCCATGGAATATTTGGAGGAGCTGAAGACAGGCATATAAAGCATAGTCCACAGGCCCCATCTGCAAGACAGTCTCAAAGGGACCCTGCTATTGAACAAAGAGCTTGGCCAAAGTAGGTGGCAGCAATAAGAGTACCTTCTGCCCAGGCAGAAACTTCTGAGGCTTTACCTTGGTGTCATAGTGAGTGGGTTCCCCTTAAGGTCCCCCAACTAAAGTCCCCCACACCTTATTCACTCACACATAATTCCCTAATTCTGTGTTTACTACACATGCATCTGGGCAGCTACCACTGCTCAGACCCAGGAACATTCCATCAGTGGACATTCCTATTTAAAGTGTCCTTCTTGCCCACAAGTGAAGCAAGTTGGCTTGGGTGAAGAGACACTTGGC